AGATGCCACCAATGGTGTGGTTTTTCCGTGTGCCCAGAGACAGGTAACTACACGCATTTGGGAGAACAGAGCTAAACATGCATGAACCTGCGTCCGCCCAGCTCTGCTTTCTGCCCCCAATAATTTGTGGGGAAAGAGACTTCAAGCCAGCTCTCCAGCAAGAAAACATCAACACTGCAAGCCAGATGTTGGCGCTGGGACCTGGGGGGGGGGCAGTTTGCACCGGGATGCTAAAAAAAAAAAGGACAAAAACAACAAAATAAATTCTGTAGACCTCCTGACATACATGGATTGGATTCCCCCTCCCTTATTTTGGTGGGTTTTTGGAATGGAGGGGGCACGTCTTTCTAAAAAAAAACAACAACAACAGGGTTTTGGGAGGGTGAGGTCAGGAGTAGGGTGGATTTTGAAAGGTGAAAGGGAAGGGGAGAGAGTGAGAGAGAGAGAAAAAGAAGGAAGGAAAGAAGAAAGGAAAGAAAGAAGAAAAGGATGGAAGAGGAAGGGAGGGAAGGGGAGGAATGGAAAGGAGAGGAGAGGAGAGGAAAGGGGAAATGAAAGAGAAGGAAGGAAGGGGCAAAAGAAAGAGAAGGAAAGAAAAAGTGAAAGAAAAGGAAGGAAGGAAGGAAACAAGGAAGGAAAAAGAAGGGAGGGAGGAAAGGAAAGGAAAGGAGTGGAAAGGGGGAATGGAAGGGAAGGAAGGGGCAAAAGAAAGAGAAGGAAAGAAAAGTGAAAAAAAAGGAAGGAAAGAAATAAGGAAGGAAAAAAGAAAGGAAGGACGGAGGGAGGGAGGGAGGGAAGGAAGGAAGGAAGGAAAAGTGAGAAGGGAGGGAAAGAGGAAGGAAAACTGAGAAGGAAGCAAGGGAGGGAGGAAGGAAAGAGGGAGGGAAGGAAGGAAGTAAGGAAAGAAAGAAAAAAGAACAGGAAGGAAGGATGGAAGAGGAAGGGAGGGGAGGGGAAGGGAGGAGAGGAGAGGAAAGGGGGAATGAAAGAGAAGGAAGGAAGGGGCAAAAGAAAGAGAAGAAAAGAAAAAGTGAAAGAAAAGGAAGGAAGGAAGGAACCAAGGAGGGAAAAAGAAGGAAGGAGGGACGGAGGGAGGGAAGGAAGGAAGGAAGGAAGGAAAAATGAGAAGGGAGGGAGAGGAAGGAAAAACTGAGAAGGAAGGATGAAGTGAGAAGGAAGCAAGGGAGGGAGGAAGGAAAGAGGGAGGGAGGGAAGGAAGGAAGGAAGAAAAGGAAGGAAGGAAGGAAGAAAGAAAGAAAAGGAAGGAAGGCAGGCAGGCAGGGTAGTTTGTCCTTGTTTTTTCGGGCCTTAAATGTGACAACTGTCAATCCAAGACAGGATTACAGAATTTTAAGTCAGTGACTCTGCTTGTTAACAGTGTTGTCATTTCCTCTGGTTACTACTCAACTCTTCCCCGAATGTTGTTTTTTTTTTTTTCTTCTTCTTTTCAAGCAGGGACTTTGCCCTTCTACCTTTCCCAAAAGAGGGATCCCAAATCCTGCCTTTTCTGAACGGGCTTTAGAAGGAGATCTCGGGGTCCCGATAATATTCACTGCCCCTTCCTTCCTCCTCCTCCTCCCTGCAAACCCCTCCTCCCTTCTATCACTGATGATGTTAGCTAGTTGGGTCATGAAACGTCGGTAAGAAATCCACAAGCTCAGAGAACACCAAGGACCCCACCGTCCTTTTCCTCCCCTTCCTCTTTCTCTTCTTCCTTTTTCTCCTCCTTGCAAACCCCACCTCCTTCTAGCACTGAGGATGTTAGCTAGTTGGGTCATGAAACGTCGGTAAGAAATCCACCAAGCTCAGAGAACACCAAGGACCCCACCGTCCTTTTCCTCCCCTTCCTCTTCCTCTTCTTCCTTTTTCTCCTCCTTGCAAACCCCAACCTCCTTCTAGCACTGAGGATGTTAGCTAGTTGGGTCATGAAACGTTTGCAAGAAAATAGCACAGCTCAGAGACCACCCAGGACTCTACAGTCCTCCTTCCCCCCCCCACATCCTTTTCATCTCCTTCCTTTTAATCCCAATTTAAACAATCTGTTGCAAGCTTAAACCTTGGTCTGCAGCGAAAACTCCTCCGGGAAACCCGACCTTTCATCGTGGTTAGTCCACAAGAAACAAGGAGAAGACCCCCCTCTCCCCAAACAGGAACTCTCCTTCAAAAATAACCTGAAATAGACTTCGACCCCACGGAGGGGGGGATTCTTTGCCTCCCCCAACCCCAACCCTTGGCACTTCTAGGCAAAGATTGACTAGGTCGAAAACAAACAATCGCTTTGTGTTACAGGAGTTTAAAGGCCTTCGGTGCGAACTCCTGTTTACGGCTTCTTATCAAGAGAAGGCAACGCACTCTTGTGCAGAAGGTGAGAAGGGAGTTTCAAGGTTGTCAGTTTTTTGCAACTTTTCACAAGAAATCCCCAGCCTCCCCGGCGAGGCTGGGAAGATGCAACTGCAGGTAGTCCTTGGCTTACGGGATGCAATGGAGGCTAGAATTGTTCGATTGCTCCTTTGGGACTCCTTTGTGGGTTGTAAATCTGGGACTAACCGTATTTATTTCCTTCCCAAATTTGTTTCTCTTGCAGGTCAAATTATCTACATTCTTATAAGCGCTCTTTTTAAAAAAAAAATTTTTTTTATTGAGAATTATTTAAAAAATACAAAAGAAAAAAAATATAGTAAGGTAGATACTAGATACTTTTTTATTGACCGAGGCCGTTTTATTCTCCGTTTCCTAAAGATGCTTCTTTGCCTGTTTTCCAAATTCTTAATTCTGTGTCGCTCGCCGTGTGTCTCACACTTGCGCCCCGAAGTTCAGCACCGATCCTCAGTCCCTTAACGTGGCAGATATACCTAATTATTCACAGCTAATTAATGATATTTTACAAAGCTCTAACCTCCATGAATTTTTTAAAACCCCGGCTTTAATTTAATTTTTTTTTTTCCCCAGCATAAAATTCTTTATTCTGGTTTTTTTTTTTTTTAACTCCTGTTCTCTCTCTTGTGGTAGCTTATCTCCCTTCTTCCAAGTGTTCAATTAAAAAGAATATATTAAAAAGGCAGAGAACAATGAGGATGCCTGATGGGCTAATTTTGAAAACGAACACCGGCTTGTTAATTCTGGCATAAGATCCATATTAATTGCCAAAGCTCCAGGCTCCAAATTCTGACCTTGTTTTATTATTTCCTTCCCTTTTTATTTATATTTTGCGTTGCTTTGTTGTTCATCTCTGACTTCCTTGTTTGTTATTTCGTTTTATTCTTTACATTTGGTTTTCATACTGGTGGTCCTCGACGTATGGCCATAATGGAATCCCCCCCCCATTTCTGTCCCTGAGCAAGACAGTTGTTAAGTGAATTTTTAAAGCCTTTTCCTGCCACAGTTTCCCCATGGATATTGCATGTCAGATGGTCGCAAAAGGCAATCACGTGAGGCCCCAGGGACACCGTCATAAATACGAGTCCGTTGCTGAGCATCTCCGAATGTTGATTTTCATGGAATGCTGCAACGGTCATTAAGTGTGAAATAAAGGTCGTTAAGTCGCCTTTTTTTCCCACCGCCGTTGCAACTTTCAGCGGTCTCTAAGTGAGCTTGTTGTAAGTGGAGAGTTACCTGTAATTATATTTAATGTCCTTATATCTTAGTTGAGAGAGAATAACTAGAGTTGGAAGGGTCCTCGGAGGTCATCTAGTCTGACTCCCTGCTTAGGTTTATTTTACGTAATCTCTTAGCTGGCTTCCAAATGCTTTCGAAGAGTTACAGGGCAAGATTTTTCTCTTTTATTATTCTTATTTTATTTGTTTGGGAGGCGTGCTAAGAGCTGGCCTTTTGTTTGGCTTTTCACCTATTGTTTTCTTCTCTCTTTCTTTCTATAAACCGCTCCAAGTGACTTCTGTTTGCAGGCTCTTATCAGCCACAAAGTTTTGTGTGTCTTTGTGGCATTTGTGGTTTAAAAGCCAATACATTTGTGCTGTCTTTTTGTTGTTGTTGTTGTTTGGGGAAACTCTCTGGTTATTATTTTTTCTTGTCTCTGTCTAGAAGAGACTCCAGGGCTTGCTTGCAATCCCCAAGGTAAAACATGAAAAATAAATAAAAATTAAATACAGTATTAAGGCTAAAATTGAGACAAGTGTTCTCCTGTTCAACTCCCCTTAGGGCTGGCGGAGATGGGAATTGTAGTCCGGCACATTCCCCAAAGCTGGGGGGTGGAGGGGTTGCCGAATCACAGTATAACAAGAGTTGGGAGGGACCCTAGAGGTCAACTAGTCCAACCCCCTGCACAAGCAGGAGATCCTGTACCATTTCAGACAAATGGCTCTCCGGTCTCTTCTTAAAAACCTCCAGTGATGGAGAAGGAAGGAAGGAAGGAAGGAAGGAAGGAAGGAAGGAAGGAAGGAAGGAAGGAAGGAAGGAAGGAAGGAAGGAATAACAGAGTTGGAAGGGATTCTTGGAGATCCTATACCCTTTCAGACAAATGGCTCTCCGGTCTCTTCTTAAAAGCCTCCAGTGATGGAGAAGGAAGGAAGGAAGGAAGGAAGGAAAAGGAAGGAAGGAAGGAAAGAAGGAAGGAAGGAATAACAGAGTTAGAAGGGATTCTTGGAGATCCTATATACCCTTTCAGACAAATGGCTCTCCGGTCTCTTCTTAAAAGCCTCCAGTGATGGAGAGCACCCCCCCAACTTCTGAAAGAGGTGGGGGGGGCCACCACTCCTGCCGCTGGATCTCCTTTTCCACTTGAGAAGGGGCACCCAGAGGTCCTCTATTCTAACCCAACCCGTGGCTCCTGGAAAGACGAAGGAAAGGGGGGGGTGTGACTGTGTGGGACTTGTTTGGCAACTGCTGTCTAGCTCCACGGAGCCGAGTGTCTGGCGCTCGCCCAAGGCAAGGCGTCAAGCCGCGGCTGCCGCTTGGGGTCAGCCCGGCGCTCTCTTCGCTTCTCGGCTCTCCCCCTTTCCCGGCCCAGGAGGGGCGGCACCTCCGCCCAGTACTTAAGCCAGGGCTGGGACTGCCTGGCTCGGTTTAGGAGAGGCAGCCAGCGCGGCACGGAGCGAAGCGAAGGCGGGTGAGCCCCGGGGCCAGCGAGCGAGCGAGTTTGAGCTGGTGCGCACCGTCGGGAGAAGGCGAAAAAGAAGGAGAAGGAGAGAAAGAAAGAAGCAAAGAAAGAAGGGAAAGAAGCAAGCAGAAAGAAAAGAAAGAAAAGGAAAAAAAGAAAGAAAGGAAAGCAAGCAGGAAGGAAGGAAAGAAAGAAAGAAAAAGAAAGAAGCAAGCAGAAAAGAAAAGAAGGAAGGAAGGAAGGAAAGAAAGAAGCAAGCAGATAGAAAAGAAAGAAAGAAAAGGAAAGAAAGAAAGAAAGGAAAGCAAGCAGAAAGGCAGGAAAGAAAGAAAGAAAGAAAAAGAAAGAAGCAAGCAGAAAGGAAAGAAGGAAGGAAAGAAAGAAAGAAGCAAGCAAGCAAGCAGAAAGGAAAAAAGGAAGGAAGGAAAGAAGGAAGGAAAGGAAGAAGGAAAGAAAGAAGGAAACAAGCAAGCAGAAGGGAAGGAAAAGAAAGAAAGAAAGAAAGAAAAAGAAAGAAGCAAGCAGGAAGGAAAGAAGGAAGGAAGCAAGGAAAGAAAGAAAGAAGCAGAAAGGAAGGAAGGAAGGAAGGAAGGAAGGAAGGAAGGAAGGAAAAGGAGGGTCGAGATTGCGGGCCGATGGGTCTCCCGCCGTGGACCCCCCTGCTCGGTCTCTGCTGCGCCCTGAGCCTGGTATCCGCGCAGAGGCACACCGTTTTCTGGAACAGCACCAACCCCAAGTGAGTTCTCGTGTTTTGGGGGGCTCTGGGAGAAGATGGGGAGGGGGGCGCAGGGCAGCCTCCAGGCTCTGAAGGGCAGAGACCCCCCTACCCTCGACCCCCACCCCTTTCAAACCCCCCTCCCCTCGATTTGAGCCGGTCCTCTCCTAGGCGCCCTCCTGGCTGGCTCCTGCGCGCATGGAGAGAGAGGGAGACCCTCCGCGCAGACCCCCTTCTTCTCTCCCCCCCACTTTCCCCGGATCGGGAAAAGTGGGGGGGGTGTCTCCGGTTTCAGCTCGACCACCCACCTGGCTTCCAGACACCTCCCCCCCCACTCCCCTCCCCAAACCCAACCCTAAAAAAGGGGGAATTTGGATGCGTTTTTAACTGCGCGTTGGGTTCCCGAGCGAGCCCACCGCCTCAATTGAGACAGACCCGAATGGGGGTAAAGGGAGCCGGCCAGCCTTTGGAGCTCCCCCTCCCCGTTTCCTGCAAAGGGTGAGAAGAGGGGGGGGTTCTCCTCCTCCACCCCAAAACCAGACCCCAGACCCATCCCATCCCCACCTACCCACTTCCAAAGTCAAAAAAAACCCCTCTCTGTTTGGAGATGGCACCCTTTAAACCCGGGTGTCCGCTCCAAAGCCCGCCAGGCTGAAAGTGCTGGTGCAAATTTGCACGCTTGCCCTTTCCCCCTTTGCTGATCTGTCTCCAACCCCCACCCCTCCCTCTGTCTAGTATTTCAATGCTGAAAGTTAGACCCCCCCCTCCAGCCAAACCTTGATGGACAGCTGGGGGTTTCCTTCCTGAGCTGGATGTGCCAATTTTGTGGGAAGGAAAGACCCAGAGAGAGAGGGGGGGTGGATGGGTGGGTGGGTTAAGGGCAGGGTGGATAAAAATCAATCATTTTTTTTAAAAAAAATCAAAAAAATCAGATTTTATTTATTTATTTATTTATTATTTTATTACATGTATTTATATGCCGCCATTCTCCCGAAGGACTCAGGGCAGCAAACACAAGTTAAGAAACAAGTACGATAAAATCATAATTTAATCCAAATAATTAATTAGTAGTAAATAATAAAGCCCGGAATCATTCTCAGCCTATTTTTTTTTTTTAATTAAATTTGATTTATATGCCGCCCTTCTCCGGAAACTCAGGGCGGCTTACAATGCGCTAAGCAATAGCCTTCATCCTTTTGTATATTTATACAAAGTTCAGCTTATTGCCCCCACAAACTGGGTCCTCAATTTACCCACCTTAGAAAGGATGGAAGGCTGAGTCAACCTTGAGCCTTGGTGAGATTCGAACCTGCAGTAATTGCAGGCAGCTGGTCTTAATAACCAGCTTAATAACAGGGTGCCTTAGACCACTGTACTACCAAGGCTCTATTTGTTTGAAAAGCCAAGTCTTCAAGTCCCGACGGAAGGAGCGGAGATCAGGAGCCGGATATTTTTTTCGATTTAAATCGGATTTTTTTGTTTTTTTTTTTGATTTTTATCGAATTTATTTTAATAAAAAACTTTGGGGGGTCAAAATCTATCGTCAGATAGTTTTCTGTTTAAGATACATATAAACGATTTAGTTTGTTCAGCACGAAACGGAGCTTAGTTACGTAGCACGAGGCTGTCTATTCTGCAACACTGGGACCCTGGGTGAGTCAACAGTAGCAGAGAGGACAGAATTGCTCTTGAAAAATCATGGTTTAAATCGAGTTGATTTAAATCAAGCCTTTTTACCGGTGATTTAAATCGTGATTTAAATCGTTGATTGAGATCAACTCGATTTAAATCAAATTCCAGCCCAGGTTACGGGGTCTGGAAGAGGGGGCTCCCTCCCTCTCCCACGTTGGCAGGGGAGAAAACTTCGGAGTAGTAAACAGCCAGTGAGTAGGCCTGCCTCTTGGCACCTGGCCCTACCTGGAGCAGTCACACGGGGCGTGAATAAGGGAGTGGGCAGTGCCAGTTGTTATTGTTGTGATGCCGCCTATCTGGGCCCCACAGGGGGGCTCTTCCGAGAGGGCTCCCAGTTGCAGTTACTCCTCCTTGTTGTGCCTCCTCCTCGCGCTTCCACTCTTTACCATCCCTTGCCCCCCCCCCAAAAAATACACCTTTTTTTTTTCAAATACCTTTCTTTAAACAAAAGGTAGGAGAGGCGGTCAGAAACTCCTTTCTTAACCAAGCTTCCGCCCTTGTAGTGGTTTGCTATGGAAACAATGGGATGCCAGGCTGGAGCCGCTTTCAAGTGGCGGGGAGTTCCGACGGCTTCCTTTCTCTTTTTCCCGAGGTCATTCTGCGGCCCGCCACCTTGGCGACGTCTGCAAATCTGCCTCGGAGCAAGGCGGGGTTACCTCTGCTTGCCGAGTTTGGGGAGGGGGTTGGACCTGGTTAAAAATTTTTTTGGGGGGGGTGTTGGTTAGGACTGTGGGGGGGGCCTCGAGGCCGAAGGAAAGGAGAAGAAGTTCTGGGGTTTTCTTTTGGGGTTCTTATTTCCAGATGGATTTGGGGGTGATGCAACTGGCATTTGCTGGGGTGTGTGTGCGCGCGGGGGCCTGGGGAGGTGTGCCTCTGAGCATAAGACGAGCGCCAGGTTTCCTTGCTGGATTGTTGTGTTTTTTTTAAAGGGATTGTGGGTTTGCTTGCGGAGGTCTGTGGCACCAGGAGAGTTAAAAAAACTTTGTTTTCGCAGAGATTGTTTGGCTTTGTGGAGAAACCGGGGGCAGCTGCGTCCTGTTGTGAACGCCTCAAGGCTGGGGGCTCTCCAGGTGGTCTCCTATCCCTCCCCCTTCCTCCTCTTCCTCCCTCTGAGTTTGTCCATCTCCCTGGTCTATATATATATATATATATATTTGGATATTTTTTCCTCCCCTTCCGTTTCGGCCTGTTTTCCCTCCGGCTGAAACTCTTAGCGGGCCGCCAGATGTCAGGACTACACCTCCCATGCTCCTTTTCCACGGGGGGGGGGGGGGGCAAGGGGCCGAGATTAAGGAAAGACAGGAAGGTGAACGATTTGATCGATGGATTTGATTCCATTGATTTGGCACTCGTCGTTCAAGCGACTCTGAAGGAAGCGAAGCACGGAGTTCTGGATTGTAATTCTTCCTCCATTCGAAGCAGAAGCTGATTTGGGGATTTGGAGCCAGCCTACCTCTCAGGGATGTTGTGAAAGGGGGGAGGGAGGAGAAACTGGTAGAAGGAACGTTTAATAGAATCTCAGAAGGGACCTTGGAGGTCTTCACCATCACAGCTCTATATCATTCCAGACGAATGGCTCTCCGGTCTCTCCTTTAAAACCCTCCAGGGATGAAGCACCCACGACTTCTAGTGGCGAGCTGTTCCACTGGTTAATTGTCCTCCCTGTTAGGAAGTTTCTCCTTAATTCCAGGTTGCTTCTCTCCTTGGTTAGTTTCCATCCGTTGCTTCTCGTCCTGCCTTCAGGGGCTTTGGAGGGATAGGTTGACCCCCCAAATCTTCTTTGGAGGCAGCCCCTCAAATATCGAAAGACTGGTATTATATCACCCCTAGTCCTCCTTTCCATTAAACTAAACCTCCCCAGATTCCTGCAACCGTTCTTCGCATGTTTTAGCCTCCAGTCCCCGCCTGAGTCCATTTTCACCTCCTGCCTGGATCTCCTTGTGTCAGGCTGAGTAACCAACAGGGAAGGTTGGTTCTCCGTCGGTGGCGGTTTTCAAGAAAAAGACGGGGCAATCATCCCTGTGGAACGGTATTTGAGGTCTCCCGTTTGAGCAAGGGGTTGGACTAGAAGACCTCCGGGGTCCCTTCCCGCCAGGGGTGAAATCCAGCAGGTTCTAACAGGTTCTGGAGAACCGGTAGCGGAAATTTTGAGTCGTTCGGAGAACCGGCAAATGCCGCCTCTGGCTGGCCCCAGAGTGGGGTGGGAATGGAGATTTTGCAATATCCCTTCCCCCAGGAGTGGGGAGGGAATGGGGATTTTGCAGTCTCCTTCCCCTGCCACGCCCACCAAGCCACGCCCACAGAACCGGTAGGGAAAAAATTTTGGATTTCACCCCTGCTTCCCGCCCCTGTGATCCTAACAATCTCTCGCGCTCGTGACGCGGCCTTCCACCGACGCCTTCCCCCGCCGGTTCTGAGAATCGACGGAGGGGATGGAGCCTCCACTGGAAGGGGCACTCTACCTCTTGATCAAAAAATCAAAATAAGACACACAAACCCTCCTCACAGAGATCCCCGCACTCTCAGGACAATGTTGTCTCTTCCCCCGCTTCCAAACTTTACAAGTCCCAAAAAAGCACTCTGCGTGTGCTCAGATGCTCCCTTGCCTTTTTTGAGGGGGGGGGAGTCTCAGCTTTGGAAAGACCCCCCCCTTTCCCCTCCCCAGGGCGAAAATGAGGAGGATCTTTGTAGAAGTTATGCACCATCAAAACATCCCCTCCCTCTTTACTCCCCCCACTCCTTTTTTAATATTTTTTTTTTTTTTTAAAAAGCTGGACTTTGGATCCACATTGCTGAAACTCAACCAGGTGGAAAAACTTGGCAAGGGGAAAGTTAGTAGGGGGTGAGGAGCCGAGGCCCGGTCAGCCAAGTCCTGCCTTTCTTTCCCAGGGCAGGGAAGGACTCGGGGCCTCTTCCTTCCCGGCCAGCCTTGGCTAGCGTCCAAGGGACGGCGCCAGGGTTATCCGGAGCAGGAAGCTTTTCTTGTATTTTTTTTCGGGGGGACAAACATCTTGCAAAGTTTTTTCGGAAAGTTGTTTGGTCAAGCGCCCGCCGATGACAACTGCAGGGGAAAAAACTGTGTTTTTAAGATGGGGGCAGAAAAAAAAAGCACACACAAGGCGGTCATTGTGGGGGATTCGAATCCGGCCCCCCGGGGGCGAGGGCCGAGCCCAGATGTGGAGACGTCAAGCCAAACACTTTTTTTCCCAACTTCGATAGAGTTTCTTTGCAGCCAGGCGTGGGAACTCGAGTTGAATTTCGACACCCTGTCGTATCTCAAGGCAGCCCCCTCCCCATTTCAGACCTGGGGAGTGATCGGCATCCCCCTTTCCAATTTAATTCCTGTAAAACCCCCCCCTCTCTTTCCCCCCCCCTTCCCAAAATAAAAACACCACCTCCTAAATTCAACCAGAATTCCACTCTCCAGTTTCTTCGTGCCCAAAATACTTTTTTTCCTCCAGATGTTTGGGGTGAAAGACGCAAAGGGGAAAAACATCTGCAGAACATCTGGAGGGCGCTTCGTTGCCCATCCGGCCCTGGGGATCATGATTATGATTATTTTATTTATTTTTTGTTCATCAGTTGGTTCAGGCAACACACACACACACAGAGACACAAATACACACCCCATTCCAGCTGAGCTAAAAATGTCTACCTTTTTGCAGGCTTTTCGGCTTCCAAAAACCTTCAATTTTTAAATTATTATTTTTGGGGGGGGTTGTTTCTTTCCCTATCCAACTTAGCCAGACGCGTGGGGTGATTTCCACACACACACCCCTCCCCATTTGCCCACCTTCCTGGGTGATCTTTGCAAATCAGATCTTGGGCGGTGGGAAGCTCCAAGACAGTGGGCGAAAGAGAGAGGGAGGGATTTCCAACCACCTGTATCTCTCCCTCCCTTTGGAGGGGAGGATGCTAAAAGTGGTTTATTGCTCTACCGAGGATCGTCCCTGCCTTGGCGTGGCCCCGTCAAACCGGTTTGGGAGAAGCCGTCATTTGTTCCTTGGCTCCCCAGCTGCTGCGTGGGGAAGCGGATAAAACTTTAATAACTAACTTCGCCTTTGGAATGTCGCTCGCTCGATAGGCTCATGTTTTTTATTTTTATTTTCCGGGGGGGGGCTAGCAAAAAACAAACAAACTAGCATTTCTCTCCTTCCAAGATGAACGTCCTTGCGTCGGCTTCGGGGGGCCGACGCAAACCACGATTCGTGGTTTCCCTTGCCTTTTAATAATCCTTGCAAGGAGCCGTCACGCAAAACGGGTTTGGCTTACGGGCCCCCCATCCCGTCCGCTATTGGGAGAGCAGAATTTTTCCTTGTTCATGGAGGGGTGCCTGATTTTGGGTTGTTTTTTGTTTTTTGCTTTTGGCCATGGTCGTTAAACGAATCGGGAAGTCGTTAAGTTAATCTTCGTGGAACAGAAGTTGCTTTCGGAAGGAAGTGGCGGGAGCTTCATCCCTGGAAGCTTTCGAGAAGAGACTGAGCTGCCATGGGTCAGAAACGGTGTAGAGTCTTCTGCTCGGGGGGTTGGACTTGATGACCTCCAAGGTCCCTTCCAGACTCACTTAACGACTGTCTCGCTTAGCAACAGAAGTGTCGGGCTCCGTTGTGGTCTAGCTGTGTTTGTTTATTTTTGCTTCTTTGTCAAGTAGCAAAGTAGTAGTAGTAGTAGTAGTAGTAGTAGTAGTAGTAGTAGTAGTAATAATAATAATAATAATAATAATAATAATAATAATAATACAAAAAACCACCTTACTCGGAACAGCTTACATCCTCTGATGATACCTTAACAGTTCCTAGGCCCTTGGTTAGGACTCGAGCTGCTGAGCTATTAACCAGCCTCAAAGGCTGTGAATCTCACTAAAGATTTAATAATACTAATACTAATACTAATACTAATACTAATACTAATAATAATAATAATAATAATAATAATATCATCTAGGACGCTGGCAGCAACCCGTATCAACCACCAGTGCCAGTCAATGGAATTTGGGATGCATTTTTGAATGTTCTGTTGCCTGAGTTTCATGTTTAATGAATAAAGTAAATAATAATAATAATAATAATAATTTTACAGAATATTTTGCAATATTTTGGGGGGCTTAGGAGGGAATCGGAAATGCAAACGTTAAAGGAAAAACGAAGGGAAGGGAAGAGGAAAAAAATTAACCATGTGCAGCACGTACAATCAACTTTATGGAGTCGAGCAGGGATTTATTCCTGGATAAAAAACTTTTAAAATGCTTTTATGTACGTGGAAAAACTTCCCCAACTCCCCGATCCATTCCAATTGATCGTAAGCAAGCTAGGGAAGCCATCTCGGCTGTGGCGGATAGGAACGGTAGTTATTCCCTAAAGTTTTCCAGGAGTTGCCCTCTTTTCGCGATCCTGTCAGGTTACCTCCGTAATTCCAAGACACACTCGATGTTTTTTTTTTTTTTTAAAGTGTTTAATTTCCATTTATTGGATTTGCGGAGGCGCCTGTTTGAAAAACGACGCGATTAAAAAGAGATTAAAAAAACAGCAGCAATGAAGAAAAGACGGTAATGCCGGCTGCATGTATTTAAAATTTCCAGGGGATTGAAGATTGCAACGAGCAAATTTAGAATTAAAAACAAAACCATAGTATCTATTCCCCACTGGACAGAGAATCAAACTGGATTTGAAATAATCCAAGCTCTGGAAGAATATCTTATAGTTTTACATCTTAAATTGATTGACAGGGCCTCCTCCTCGTTATTTAGCTTCTGGGAGCCCTTAAGATGTCCTTGGTCAACCTGTATAAGAGGTAGTCCTCAACTTACGACCATATTTGGCCCCAGAACTGTTGCTAAGCGAGATAGTCATTAAGCGAGTCTTACGCGCCCTTTTCCGCTGTCTTTATTCAGCAAAACACTGCAGCCATTAAACGAATCGCATCGTCATTAAACAAATCTGGCCTCCCTCCCCTGAACGCAGATTCCTTCAAGCCAGCGAGTCACGGCCACTACCGCGATTAAGCAAATCACCGCGGACGTTAAAGGAATCACCATCGTCAGCCCTTAAGCAAACCTGGCGTCCCTCGACCGCAGATTCCCTAAAAACCGAACTCATCGTTAAGCGAGTCACACCCACTCTCGTCATTAAGCAAATCACGAAGGAATCACCATAAGCCGTTGAGCCAATCTGGCTTTTCTCTCCCTTGGCTGTAGATTCCCTAAAAGAGATCCATTCCTCTCTCGGGGGAGGGGAGGTCTACCTCGCAGGGTTGCTAGTAAGGATGATGACGAAGGCACTGAATGGCATTTGGGAAAAAAAATGTTCTGTTTATATATATATATTTATATTTCGCTGATAAAGAAGTAAAGGGAAACTAGCATAGATCTATTTCAAGCTATTTAGCTCTCATCAGCTAGCCATACCCTTACTTGGATTCGAACTTGGCTGCGTGCATGTTAGTTGTATTAACCTCTGAGCCACAAGTTCTCCCTTTATTTCTTTATCAGCGAAATATAAATTTGGTATAAAGTGGTTTGTCGTGAATGCAACTGCTTGAGGGCTCCTGGATTGCAGCTGAAAGGCGAAAGGGATCAGTATACTCCTTCTCACATGCTGGGGCAGACCAGGTGTCTTCATAGAAAAACACTTTATATATATATATAATTAATATATTAATATATATAATTAATATATATGGGTCTTTGGTTAGTCGGGTTTTCTCCCGCGTAAAATTGGAAGTGTCTTGGCGACGTTTCGACGAAGTCTCATTCGTCATCTTCAGGCTGGTGTCTTCGGCTTCGTGCTTCTAGGAGCAATGTGTGATCGCAGCTGTTTCTTTTAATATATATATATTAGCATACGTCAGCAGCAGCGAACATAGAAAAGCGACAACTCCCATCTCGCAGCATACCCCACAGTTTCTAAACTGAAAGTAGGGGCCCGATGATGACAAGTTAGAGAGCTTGTCGAAACGTTGCCAAAAAGAAAACTTTAAAAGTGTTGGTTAGGATTTTAGCCAGAGTTTCAAAAGACCTTACAAAGTGTTTTGTTGGGATTTTGAAGGATTTTAAGCTGGGATTTTAGCCAGGATTTTAAGTATTTCAACTAACAGACTTTTAATGACGCGGGAAAACACTCGAGATTTTAACTTTTTACATATATATTAATATATATATATATATATATATTAAGCCGCCTTTTTATATCGTTTTTAGGTTTCAGAAGGAGGATTACACCGTCGAGGTGCGTCTGAACGAGTATTTGGACATCATCTGTCCGCATTACGAGGATAAAAACGTCCCCGTCCATTTGATGGAGCGATACACCTTATACCTGGTGGAGCGAGAGGAATACGACACCTGCAAACCACGATCTAAGGAGCAAGTCCGTTGGCAATGCAACCGACCGGATGCCTTGCACGGGCCCGAACGCCTCTCCGAAAAATTCCAGCGTTTTACGCCGTTCACCCTCGGCAAGGAATTTCGGGAGGGACATGAATATTATTATATCTGTAAGTTTCCTTTTCGGGGTGGAAAAAAAAACCCCACTCGTAGGCTTGTCTGTTGATCCGTGGCAGAAGCCACGGATAAAATAAAGTGTAAAAGATAGCATACAAGATTAGAACGTTAGAATGGGATGGGATTAGAATTAGAATAGGAAATAAAAAATGGAGAATGGAGAATAAGAATAAGAAGAGAATTGAAATTAGAATTAGAGTAGAAACTAAAAAAAACGGAGAATAGAGAATAGAATAAGAAGAGAACTAAAATTAGAATTAGACTAGAAAATAAGGGAGGGAGGAAGGAAGGAAGGAAGGAAGGAAGGAAGGAAGGAAGGAAGGAAGGAAGGAAGGAAATAGCAGAATAACAGAGTTAGAAGGAGAATAGAGAATAGAATAAGAATAGAGCTAAAATTAGAATTAGATTAGAAAATAAAGGAGGAAGGAAGGAAGGAAGGAAGGAAGGAAGGAAGGAAGGAAGGAAGGAAGGAAGGAAGGAAATAGCAGAATAACAGAGTTAGAAGGAGAATAGAGAATAGAATAAGAATAGAGCTAAAATTAGAATTAGATTAGAAAATAAAGGAGGAAGGAAGGAAGGAAGGAAGGAAGGAAATAGCAGAATAACAGAGTTAGAAGGAGAATAGAGAATAGAATAAGATAGAGCTAAAATTAGAATTAGACTAGAAAATAAAGGAGGGAGGGAGGAAGGAAGGAAGGAAGGAAGGAAGGAAATAGCAGCAGAATAACAGAGTTAGAAGGAGAATAGAGAATAGAATAAGAATAGAGCTAAAATTAGAATTAGATTAGAAAATAAAGGAGGAAGGAAGGAAGGAGGAAGGAAGGAAGGAAGGAAGGAAGAGGAAGGAAGGAAGGAAGGAAGGAGCAGAATAACAGAGTTAGAAGGGACCTTAGAGGTCTTCTAGTCCAAACCCCTGCTCAGGCAAGAAACCCTATCCCATTTCAGACAAAACGGTTGTCCAATCTCTTCTTAAAAGCTTCCAAGTGTTGGAGCATTCCCAACTTCTGGTGGCAAGTAGTCCCAACCGATTAAATTTGGCTCCAAAAACTGCCGCCGTTTCAAACTACGAGTGCTCACCTCCGCACATTTCTCCTGAACACTCAAAAGGGGTATTTTCTCCTCCTTATGCCTTCCAATTTTCTCTGATTCTCACCAGCAATATTTTTTAAATATTAAAAAAAAAAAAAAATCTCTGATTTTTTTTTTTTAAAAAAAATAAGTCTCTCTGATTTTAAAAAAAATATTTTTCCTCTCTTTTTCTCTTGGATAGCAAAACCGATTCACCGGCACGGAGATTCCTGTCTTAAATTGAGAGTGAAGGTGATTGGGAAGAAAAGTAAGTATTTCAGCGTTTAAATATTGCTTTTCCGATTCTCGCTGTTTGCTTTTTCTTTAAAAAAAAAAAAGTAATCCATTTGGTTTAGCCAGAAAGATTTATTTATTTAGACGAAGGGAGCAGCCTACCCACAATTACGACTTTGCCCCGTTTCATGATTCTGAGTTACTCAGGGTGGTGCATACACGTGGTCTCCGTTTAGTGGCGCCTCGTTTAGTGACCGTTCAGAGTCACGATGGTGATGAAAAAGTATTTGGACCCCCTATTCCATAAATTCTTTGCGAGTCTGTAAAGCAAAGGAAAGCCGAAGGAAGATTGTAAAACGAATGTTTCACTTAGGGACTGATTCACGGAACAACCGAGTTGCCAGTCCCTGTTTTGGTCGCTAAATGAGGACGACTTGTATGGTTGCTTTAGACTCTCATTTCACCCCCACAATAACCCTGGGGGGTGGTGGGGGAGATTGGGGTGGAACGGTGTTACTGACTTAAGAACTGCAACGATTCGTGTAACAATGGCGGCAGGAAAGGTCATAAAATGGAGCATTTCTCACTTAGTGACATAAATGTGGGGCCCGATTATGGTGACTGCTTATAGAGCCCATCTGGAGAAAAAAGAGAGAGAAGGGTGTAAGAATCAACATGGAAGGGGGAAGGGGTTTCAGGATTCCGGTATTCTGATATTCGGGGGTATTTGAACTTAACGTTGTCTCGTTCTTCCGTCGTAGCTCTGATACCACCAGGCCACATCCCGACGCAAAAGGGGACTCTTCAATCAGGTAGGCCCAGAAATGGAATTCTGGGAAATTGTGGGGCTGGGGGGAAGGGTGTCCTCATTCCGTGGATGTGACCCTCTTTCACGCACGACGAGACAAACATCCCCCTTATTTCTCCCTTCGCTGATTTTCGCAGACGATCCGGACGCCCCGATGTTGCGCAGCGTGGGGTACAATTCCGCCCCACGGCTCGGCAGCCCACTGCCCTTCATCGGCCTCTTGCTGTGGGTCTTCCTGTCTCGGGGCCCCTGAAGGGAATCTCAGGCCCCCCCTCAACGAACCCCCGGATTGAACCAGGCAGGGTGGATTCTGATGAGTTGACCACGCGGCGAGCGAGACGGCAATGTGGTATCTTCAGGGTTACCGACCCTGAAACCGTCGGTAGCACGTGAGGCGTGAGGAAGCGCGGCGCACGTCGCGGGCGTGGTAAGGACAGCGTGCAAATCGTCTCTTGTTCTCGAGAGATGTCGTTGGACTCCCGGTGTGAGAAAGCAACGCGGTGAGAGGATGACGTATCCTCCGCAGGTCGGAGATGTATCCTCTGCGAGTCGGAGACGCCGAGGATCTTTCTGAAGTTTGGTGGACATTGTTGGACTTTTCGAGCAAACTTTGTTGGACTTTTCGAGAAAGATATAAGATACGGGCTGCTTCCTAAACCACCCACTCCACTCCTGGACTTACGAGACTAAGTGAATAATTTATCGGACTTAAAACAGGCAGGACCTGAATTTGGGGAAGACCCCCGCGCCACTCCGGTGACTCAGATTTTTGTCCTCGTGATCCGGACGGGAAGGCTGTGTCCCAAGGATATCGATTCAACAACTCGGATTGATACTATTTATTAGAAGAAAAAGAGAAAGTGACAAACCCAGCAAGGATTTTCAATTTCCAACGAGACATTTTTATATCTATATATATATGTATAGGATGAATTTAGGACAGCGACACTCGTGTTCATTCGCTTCGGGGTTTTCGATCCGAAGGGGTAGAAAATTGTCTTTTTCGGATTGGTTTTAATTTGGGTAAAGGCTAAGATTTTCATGGAGGAGAAATCTCACTCACAGGTTTCTTGTCTTCACTTGGTTAAAAAGACAGGAATCCACAAAAATGCCAAAGAAAGTTTTGCTGGCATCTTGTACAGGTAGTCCTCGACTTATGACCACAATCGAGCCCAAATTTTATGTTGCAAAGTGAGACCTTGGTTCAGGGAGTTTCGCCTCCCTTTTACGACCTTTCTCGCTGCGGTTGTTAAGGGAGTCGTTGCCATTTTTAAGCTAGTAAACGGGGTTGTTGAGCAAATCCTAGATTCCCACACTGAGTTTGCTCGTCAGAAGGTCGCAAATGGGGAGGCTGCAACCGTCATACGTGTGAAACTCAGTTGTAAGCCACTTTTTCGGGGATGTCGAAACTTGGAACGGTCACTAAACGAATAGTTGTCAGTCAAGGGCTACCTGTATATCCAACAGTGCTCAGCTGTTAAAAGCCATAAATCAGAATTTTTATTATTATATTCCATGCCAACTGTGCATCTTCCGTTGTGAGGGGAAACTGCCTCTGTTCGCGGAGGATCCATTTAGCTACGAATAAGGATGGTGGTCCTCATTTAATAACCAACAATGGAGACCTGCCAACTTGGTCATTAAGCGAAACGGTCAGTAAATCCGTAGCCGCTGATCCTCTCATTCCAACTTTCCTTTTCCTTTTATGGACCTGCAAAGGTTCCGAATGCGAGGGCAGGTCGCAAAATTTACCTTTTCAAAGTTACGGATCCGACGCAAAACGAGGCAGTCGCTAAACGAGGAGGACCTGTTGTGACTTTTCAATGCCAGTCCTAGCCTTTCCCGAGTGATCTGCTCATAGCGAATCGGTTCTTTGAAATCTTTGACTGCTTCACGTTGATTTGCAGAAGGCGAATTCTCAAAAAAAGCGGGGGACGGAATTTATTTTCTGTTATGCTTTGTATTTTTTTTATCAGTTTTAAAAAAAAAGAATAAATAACACCGAATAAACTGGCTTGTGGTGTGCAGTTCAAATGGGGTAACCTCGTTTTGCGGGATCGAGAGGGCGGAGCTTGGGCGATCGGAGGGCGGGGACTAAAACGGGGCGGGGCCTGATGGCGGAGGCAAAAAAAATCGTTTTTCTCGCGGGAGCAATCCTGTAAATGGAATTTTAAGACGAACGAAGGCAGAAATCTGTCTTGCTTTGATGCAGTTCCACATTTTATTTTATGTTTTAATTTCTTGCCTTCAGGGGCCCAGGTGGAAACTCCGGGCCAAAGCTTGAAGCTTGATAAGTATTATGGTCTGTTAAAAACGTCTGGCGTGATTTGTTTTGGGGATATTGGGAGAGCCAGATGGCCCGACACGTGGGATCGAACGAAACGTACAGCTTGCCAAGATTTTTCAAAGCTCCTTTGATGCTGATTTTTATAACAACGTTTTAAAATCATCTTTTCACCTTTTTTCTCCCTTTGCTGATAAACCGGGGTTCTTATTTCACAAAAAAAAAAGAACATAAATAAAAACCAGATGAAGCATTAATGGACAAATTAAAAATAAAAGCAGGCGTCAACCAACTTGCAATCGCGAAATTGCAGAATTTAAGGGCCTTGGCACAATGCCGTCAGGGCGAACAGGTTTCTAGTCCTCAAGCTTTTTGACGGTTTGAATGCTTTTGTGTTGTAAGCCGTCCGGAATCGCCGAGGGGGGGCGAATAAATTTCAGCCATCATAAATAAATAAACTTGCACAGATCTTCCCCCAAATCTCAACCCAATCGTTCGGCTAGGGCCAAAGCTTTATTTTATGTTCTTTCTTTCTTTTTTTTTTTAAAAAAGAAAAAATATTGCTTTTTTCTTTATTGCAATATTGCCTCAATCCTCAAGGGAGAATGGACTGGAACCGAAGTCGTCCCTGCTCTTTGGCCCATTGCCAAATCTGGATTTGGCGAGTTGCAAAACAGATTTAAATCTTGTCTTTGCTGAAGTCCGTGGCCAAAATTGTGGAAACCTTTTGGGAAAAGTGTATTTTCTAAAACTAGCTAATAACACTTTTTTTCTTTTTCTTTTTTTTGGAGTAGAGCCATAAAATTATATATCGATGGAAAGATAAATTGAATCAAGAATGTAATGCAATCACTTTTAGGTCGTAAGTGTGAAAAACGCTCATCCGTCACTCTTTTAGAGCGCCGTTGTAAAAACAGTCACTAAACGAACTGTTGTTGTAAGCCGGCTGCGAGCCGGTTTTCAGCTCCCGCCGTAGCTTCAAACCGGTCCTTAAATGGTTGCAAGTCAAGGACTAGCTACAATCCAACCAGGCCCATCCCAGAATGGGAGAAACGGGTTCAATCCTAGAGACAGTTAATCATATTTAAGCCTCGTTTTGTCTGGGCCAAGCGAGCGGATGGAGAGAGTGGGAAAATTTGTTGAAAGAGGAATGACATCACGGCAGAAAAAAAAGTAGTTTGTTTGCTCTCTCTGTCTCTCGCTCTCTCTCTCTCACACACACACAACACCTTTCTCTCTTTCTCTGTCTTTCTCTATCTTTCTCTCTCACACACACACAAACACACAATACATGCTCCCGCCTCTCTCTTTCTTTCTTTTTCTTCTCTCTCTCTCTCTCACACACCTTTCTTTCTTTCTTTCTCTCTCTGTCTTTCTTTCACTCTCACAGACACACACACATATACACTTCCCTCTTCCTTTCTTTTTCTTCTCTCCCTCTCACACACACACTTTTTCTTTCTTTCTTTCTTTCTCTCTTTCTCTCTCTTTCTTTCTCTCTCACAGACACACAAACACACATACACACTTCCCTCTTTCTTTCTTTCTTTTTCTTTCTCTCCTCTCTTCACACACACCTCTTTCTTTTTCTTTCTTCTTTCTTTCTCTCTCTCACAGACACACAAACACACATACACACTCCCCTCTTTCTTTCTTTCTTTTTCTTCTCTCCCTCTTTCACACACACCTCTTTCTTTTTCTCTCTCTCTTTCTCTCTCTCTTTCTCTCTCACAGACACACAAACACACATACACACTCCCCTCTTTCTTTCTTTCTTTTTCTTCTCCCTCTCTCTCACACACACTTCTTTCTTTTACTTTCTTTCTTTCTCTCTCTCTTTCTTTCTCTCTCACAGACACACCAAACACACATACACACTCCCCTCTTTCTTTCTTTCTTTTTCTTCTCCCCCTCTTTCACACACTTTCTTTCATTCTCTCTCTTTCTGTTTCTTTCTCACAGACACACATACACACTCCCTCCCTCCCTCTTTCTTTTTCTTCTCTATCTGTCTCTCTCTCACACACACACCTTTCTTTCTCTCTCTCTGTCTTTCTCTCTCACAACTAAACACAAATACTCCTTCCTTCCTTCCTTCCTTCCTTCCTTCCTTCCTTCCTTCCTTCCTTCCTTCCTTCCTTTCTTTCTTTCTTTCTTTCTTTCTTTCTTTCTTTCTTTCTTTCTTTCTTTCTCTTTTCTCTCTCTACCCCTCCCTCGTTCAGAGGAATCTTGCAACATGAAGATTATTTTCAATTTCTTTTTTGGGTGCGTGATGGCGGTGCATATTTTGCTATTTTTGCTTTTTGCTTTTTTTTTAAAACAAAAATCAGGATTATGCTGCCGCAGCAGGTTTGGAAACTGGCAGACTGACCCAGCCAGACACGTTGTGTTATTCAGTGGCGGTTTTTGTGGTCCAACTGGAGAAAAACAAAAGGAGACGAGAAACGGAGTCGAGATTGTGGGTCACCGTTTTAGGTTCTAGTTTTTCATATTTTTTTTGGGCGGGGACCTTTCTTTGATTTTTATTTTTTTTTAAAGGTTTTCTGGGTGCCAAATCGAGAACCAAAATAATAGAAGGGAAGGATTTGGAAATCTGCTTTAAAAACTTCCCCTCTTTAAAGCAAATAAGAAAAAGGAAACAGGAGCAGGGAAAAAAAAAACATTAACTTTGATGAAACTAAGGATTAATATTAACCGAGGTTAAAATTGTTACGGACATTTTGTTAGTCTCTGGTTTTGCTTCCGTACAGCCCGTCCTTGACTTAGGACCACAACAAAGCCCAAAATGTATGTCGCTAAGTGAGACATTGACTTGTTAAGTGACTTTTGCCTTATTTTACGACCTTGTTGTTCAGTGAATCGCTCCACTTGTTACATTAGTAACACCGTCGTTAAGCGAATCTGACTTCCCCGTGGATTTTGCTCGTCAGAAGGTCGCAAAAGCGGATCGAGTGACCCCGGGACCCTGCTGCCACCGTCATAAATACGAGTCGGTGGCCAAACGTCCCCATTTTGATCACCTGACCACGGAGATGTTGTAACGGTCGTTAAGTGTGAAAAAACGGTCATAAGTCCCCCACCATCATAAATATGAGTCAGTTGCCAAGCATTTGAATTTGGATCACGTGACCACGGGGGTGCTGGTACTGGTCGTAAGAGCGAGAAATGGTCATAAGAGCGAGAAACGGTCATAAATCAGTTTTTCCAATGCTGTTGTTGCTTTCAATGGTCACTAAACAAATTCTTGTAAGACTATATTATTTTTAAAATAATCCTTCTCTTATTTTTAAAATAATCCTTCTCTTATTTTTAAAACAATCCTTCTTTTAAAATAATCCTTCTCTTATTCTTAAAACAATCCTTCTTTTAAAATAATCCTTCTCTTATTTTTAAAATAATCCTTCTTTTAAAATAATCCTTCTCTTATGTTTAAAATAATCCTTAACCTTCGCAGTTTAAAGCTCATTCCGTAAACGGCATTTTTCCAATCTAAAGCACTACAGTTCCCATCGTTCTTAACCAACACGGTCCATGTTCCCCAAGGGCGATGGGAATTATCCTTTGAATCACCCGGATTCGATGGCGTGTTTGGGAAAATTGGCATAAATTTTTACGGCTTCCTAGAAGATCTGACGTATCGGCGGGGAATCGTGCGAATTCTCCGAAAGGGGAAACCAGAGGAGGAAAATACGCGAGGGGAGGAAAAGAAAGAAAGAAAAAAGAAAGGAACAATTCATGAATGATTTAAACGTGGGGAAAAAAATTTAACAACAGCAACTCAGTCACAATAGCAGGAATCCGGAGCAGAAATTCAATATTATACACCGTGAGCCAAGTTGGCGAGATCAAACCCAAGTAAAGGAAGTTTAAAAAAGAAAAGAAAAGAAAGAATTGCCAATTTGTTTATTCGCAATAAACACCTTCCGTGCTACAAAGCACACATTTTGGAAGAGAATACACACAAACACACACAAAGAGGACGTAGTCTTCGACTTACGACCGTAATGTGCATCCCCAAATTTCCACGGCTAAGCGAGATGTTTGTGACGTCAGTTTTGCTCCCTTTTTACGACCTTTTGGGCCACCGTTCTTAAGTGAATCCCTGCAGGTGTTAAGTTAGGAAGACGGCCGTTAAACGAATCGGGCTTCCCTCTTGATTTGACCTGTCCAAACTAAGGTCGTAAAAGGGGATCAAGTGAACCCCGGGACGGTCGTAAATACGAGCGTCTAGATTTTGATCGCGTGAAAATTCGGGCAAGCGGCAACGGTCGTAAGTGTGAAAAATGATTTTTTTTCAGCGCGGTTGTAACTTCGAACTGTCACTAAGCGAACTGTTGTAAGTCCAGGACTGCCTGTAGATACAGAAAAAAAGACTGGCTGTGTGGGCGGTGGGGGGGGTTGGACTAGATGACCTCAAAGGTCCCTTCCAACTGAGATTCTATATTCAATGGGACAGAAGTTGCCTTCGGAAGTTGTGGGAGCTTCATCCCTGGAGGCTTTTCGAGAAGAGACTGGACTGCCATCTATCGGAAATGGTGTAAGGCCGTGATGGCGAACATATGGCATGCGTGCCACACGTGGCACGCGTAGCCGTTATCAGTGGACACGTGAGCTCTGCTCTGGTGCGCACAAGCTGATTTTCGGGCCTTCTTGGCCCACCAGAAGTAGGGAAACAGGTTGTTTCCTCCCTCCCTTGTGGTGGTGGTGGGGAAGGCCCATTTTTCTC